TTTCCTTTTTCCAGCCACTTATTGCTACTTGTCCCAACTTTTTGGAGGATTTGTTGACACTGTGAAATTTTGAATCAACATATTTTTCCTTTAAAATGTTACATTTACTCAGATTAAACTTTTGATCTGTCATCTATGTTATATTACAAATAAAATATTGACATTTGCCATCTCCACATCATTGCATTCAGTTTTTATTCACAATGTGTTTAGCGTCTCAACTTTTTTGGAATCCGGTTTGTATGTTTGTACAGAACTCAGAAGTCATGAAAGAGCTGATAAGAATAAAAAAAGAGGTGAATGTGTCTTCTCATCATTTTCTTGTAAATTTCACTGCAAAGTTGATTTCTTTTGTGTATAAATTATTGCCTTTTTTATCACAAAATATTTTTTTTTACCAAATTGAACAAATTTCCATTTATTGTATTAAAAGTGGAACACAAGTAAAGCTTTGACATGTGGTTCTACAGTAATGGATCAGCAACATCAGAGGACCTCTTTTGGAAACTGGAAGCTCTGCAGACCTTCATCAGAGATCTCCACTGGCCAGAGGAAGAATTTGGCAAACACCTGGAAACTCGACTGAAGCTGATGTCCAGTGACATGATTGAATCCTGTATAAAACGGTAAAATTTTGACATATGAGGCCTATGAATGTAAAAGTCATATAATTTCACATGTATGTCCACTAGGAGTGGGTGAGAAATTCTTACATGTTTAATTATTGTAGTGAACTAGGCCTGAGCCTGAGGTCAAGTCCTGACCTTAAGGACCATATGGGACAGAAACTGTCATTTCATTGATTTGAATCCAGAAATACAGGTTGACCCATCCTGAGACTTTCTTTCTTGAATTAATCAAGTAAAAGAAGACTACTTTCTATTATCATTACCATTTTACAAATGTTTTGATAATCAAATTGTGTTAGTTCAAACAATGTTTACATGTTGAAGTGAACTACTCATTTTTAAATCAACTGTGAAACAGTAATAACGATTTTTAATCCTCATTCAAAGAAGAAATCAGGTTAATGATGCATTGT